TAATCAAGTAAAAATAAAAATAAAATCTTATTTCTTGACTAACTTGGATTTTGATTTTCTTCATTTTCTCTATTCAACTTTGAATTGTTATTGCCTACAACTAAGAACCTATATGTTCAAAAGCCGAACAAATTCTAGTAAAAAAAATGCAACAAGTCTAGAAATGATTTAGGATCTCAATAACGATTATATCTTTGTAAATGAACTCTTTGTGTTAGAGATATTTACTTAAGTTTAGTTGACCATGTCAATAGGAGTCTATTTTAGTTTGATTTGATTTGACCTAGTTTAGTGGAGTCTGCTACATGTGTGAGCACTTTATCAATAGTTAGTGGCTACACTTCCTAGATTCAAGCATTTTTTTTTGTTGGTTTTAGCTCTATAAATGGTGAAGCTTAAATGGTGTAGCTTCATGTTATGAGTGTTGTATTAGATTTGAAGAAGTAATAAAGTTCAGTTCTTTGTTCCTCTTATTTTGTCTTTTCTTCCTCAATACTTGTATCAGTGGCAACAGAGCTAGGTTGATGAGTGAAACCAAACAGTGAGTTGTGAGAATTTTAACAAAGCAATGGTAAATCGCAATGGCCACTGACAACTTTGTGCAGCCAGCAATTCCCACTTTGATGGTCATTATAATCATTGGAGCATTTTAATGGAGAACTTCTTAAGGTCCAAGGAGTATTGGTCGGTTGTTGAATCTGGATTAGCGGAGCCAAAAATTGGAGTGGTTGATGTGGCTCAGGCTTTGTTGGGTGTCAAACAAGTAAAAATAAAATTCTATTCTAAAAATATGAATTCGAGTGTAGTGGTAAGTAGGGTTGTACCCTTAGGAACTCGGTAATTTATTTTTCTTATAAAAATGACAATAAATAAAATGGGGGATTATAGAGAATTTATCTCAATAACTCACTTGAATAAAAATAAAAACAATAGCACAAAATTAAATAAAACTAAACTAAAAAAAGACAACTCTCTAGCGAAAGGTCTAATATCCACTTTGGTTCATTCAACTGATCATCGATACAAAGGAAAAATCAATTATTTATAAATAAACTGGTTATAATTGTCAACGTGCTCTGATAACATGTCTCTCCTTACTCTTTCGATAACTACAACAAGTTCTGTGATTATTTCCCTTGTCAACTAAGCAATTCTAAACAAGCTCTTAGGATTTAACCTACTGAAGCATTAATAATTAAAGAAGCTACTAATTCTAACCAACAAACACACAAGCTCGATTTATGTAAGCTAGATTATATATTCTTATAACATAAAATTCGAAAGTTTTTACTACAATCAGATTACATTACTCGCCACAAATACTAAAACCACCAAACAATTACGGATTTGATATTTTAGATGGCAATAGATTATTCCGACAATTAAATAGTGGCCAGTTCTGTAATTGTATAAAATAATCATAATCATGAATGAATAGAAATATATAAATACTTATAAATAAATGAAACAAATAAATCAAATTAGATCTCACAATATCGTTGAACCAAAACTTCAATTATCCTTCAACTAGAGAAAATGTTCAGTCACTCCTCATGGTCGATTCGTGGCCACAAGAAATACTAGGATTTATTAGAGAGAAAGAGAGGAAGAGGAATAATGGAAAAAGCTCATGAATCATTTCTTGCGTTCCTAATCTTGATCCCCTAGAGTCCCAAAACTAATTGGAGTTCTTATTACCTACGCTTTTTCCAACATCCAATAAGGAAAGGATTAAGATTGCTATTCAACTAATACTACTAGATAGAAACAAGAAATTATATGTTTCTAAAGACACCAACGGCCTTCCAATACACCAGCAAAGCTTCAAACGGTGGCCCACTTCAATCCCGTAAGCATGGATTTCACAAGAAGTTAAGATGTGGTTATGCCTTCTAAAGTATTATCTTTTGAAAATTCAACCTTTAATGTATTTTTTTATTCTCTTTTCACCACAAATTCTTAGAGACAACACCAAAAATTAAATATGAGTAGAATCTAGCAATCAACACCATATTTTAGCCAAATCAAGGGAAAAATATTCATAAATTAAGCGCACAATTAACCACCTAATACGTTTCCAAGTTATAAATTCTCAATTACCAATTTAGCTAAGCTCAATTACCTCGATTTTCTACCAGTATACGAGTCAAACGAGTATAGTGATAATTAGTATCAATTCCACAAGAAATTGGTTAATTACTACGGCATTTTAAACTTGCTTTATTAGTGTGTTTTAGGGTTTTTAAGGATGAAATTTGCTCCTATTAGCTACTATTTCCACAAGTCCTATTTTTATAACAAAAACTTGAATTTTAGTAGTCTAATATGCAAACTTGTTGCATTTGTAGGATTTTGGTGATTTATGGTCAATTTAGATTAAGTAGAATTCAAGCAAAACATTTGATGGATTCGAAGATGGCTTGGAAATGACAAATAATGAACAAGTGCAATTTTCTGGGGAGAAAACATGACCTAATACATGAGAATCACCCGGATTTTCACCCCTATTCTCTCTTGAGCAACAAGAGATTCGTAACCCTAGGATATTCTTCTCCTAAATTCTCCATTGTAAATTTACTTGCTTAAATTAGTATAATTCGTAGTGTATTGCTTTTACTTAATTCTTGAATGTTTACTTAAATTAGTATAAATAATATACATATCAAATTCCCCTACATTTAAATCATTACTTGTTCTCAAACAATAGGAAATACCAATCAACGATGATTTAAGAATTGAAATAAATCATGTGGAACTTTAAAATTCAACCCTTCATAACTTAGCAAGTCATCATTATGAAATCATTCAATTTGCCTTGTATACTCATAATATCAAGTAAAAGAGAGACAATTATACCCTAATTTTAATAAGTTAAATTTAATCTCTCACCCTAATCGAATTTCACAAACAAACAACTCATATAGTCAATTCATAGGTTTTTCCAATTCCTACAATAATCTTTTTCTCAAATTCCAATACTAAGAGGGAATTATTCATATTTATTTTAATCAAATAGTGGAAAAGTCTTTTGACGCGAAGAACAACATTTGTAGATATGACCCATGGTTATTTAACACTTTACTTATTTGAGTTGTTTTGCATACTTTTAATTCAAGCATCTTTTTACACGAAAATTAAATTCAAGAAAATTAAAGAAACTAATCAATTTAAAATAACTCGTTTCAAAGGTTAAACATTCACTCCATAGACTTTGTTTATTATTGAAGTGCGAAATTCATCCTTTAAATTCAAGCAAAAAATTAGATTATCCTTAAAGTTAATGAAAACCAAGACATTCAATAGTAAAATTAACTAGAAAAATCTTCCAATCAATTCTTTATTATCAAGTGAATTCAATGTTGAAAAGCAATTCTCTTTCACTCAATAATAGCATTAAAATAGAGAATATGAATTTAATCCAAGCAACCATTCAAAAGATTAAATAATTTAACTTCTCTTGTTTTCTCTATAGTAAATTAATATGAAAGGGTAGACAATCAAATTAATTTACTTTGATTCTTGTTCTAATTCCTAACAACAATTACGGATTGAAAGAAACTAGAAAGCATGTAAGCAATCTCAAAACTATTCAACAAGTGAGAAACAGTAATCAATTGCAAAAGAATTTAACAAAGAAGAAATAAGTACTTGAACATAAAAGAATTACAAATAACGAACATTGCTTTTCAAAATCGAGGATAGAGACAAAAGTTGTTCCCCTGTGTCTTCATAGCTATAGTAGGAGCAGGCGTCCTTGGCCTACCCTACACATTCAAGAGAACAGGGTGGGCGATGGGCGTCCTTATGCTCTCCTCGGTCGCCTTGCTCACCGACCATTGTATGATGCTCTTAGTCCACATGCAGAGAAGACTTGAATCCAGTCTTAAGTCTCCAAAGATCATCTTTTGGTGATCTTGGATTTGTTGTGTGTGGTCTTGTCGGCAGGTTTGCCATCGATGCTATGATTGTTCTTTCTCAAGCTGGTTTTTGCACAAGTTACTTGATATTTATAGCCAATACTTTAGCTTATATATTCAATTAAGCTCCCACTAACCCTAACCCTAAGATCTTGGGAATTTTTGTGCCCAAGTCTGTGTACAAATGGAGCTGTTTTCCGTTCCAACTGGGGTTGAACTCCATTCCCACGCTGACCCATTTGGCCCTCTTGAGCATATTTGCTGACTTAGTTGATATCGGTGCCATGGGGTGGTGATGGTCGAAGATGTTATGATTTTTCTTAGAAACAGGCCTGCCTTGGAAGCTTTCGGCAGATTCACTGTGTTTTTTTATGGGCTTAGGTGGCGGTTTATACTTTTGAAGGGATCGAAATGATATTGCCGTTAGAGTCAAAGACGAAGGAGAAACAACAGTTTGGGATAATCCTAGGCTGGGCAATGGCTTTCATCTCCTTCTTAATTTATGGAGGATTTGGAATTTTGGGGTATTTTGCTTTCGACGAAGAGATCAAAGATATAATCACGAGCAATTTTGGGCAGGGACTATCGAGCAGCCTTGTTCAGTTGGATTTGTGCATTAACCTATTCTTTACTTTCCCACTAATGATGAACCCTGTTTATGAGGTGGCGGAGAGGAGATTCTGTGAAGCCAAATTGAACAAAGGGGCCAAATTTGTTATTAGTAGCATAAAGGCATTTCGCCACAGATATGTAATAAAAAAAAAAACCTAGTGGACATGTAATACCAAAATAGATTGGTTGTTGAAACACGGGTCTAGCACCTGTCTTTTGGTGATGCAAATTGGAAACAAAAAGTTTATGATGTGTGTTTGTTAATAATAATATAAGCAAGCAAATGTTCATTTGTGCCATATAATAATAGTCCTACAAAAGCTGCATTACATTTGTTGGTATTACACAAGCAACGTCAAATTAAATCTCCCACAACGCAATGCAACACACACTTGGAAACTAATAATTGCACTTGACATTTCAAGACTCGAGCATCCCAATGAAAAAATAAATAATTAAAAACATTCCATCAAAGAGCATGAAAAATTTTATAGTAGTAAAATCTAACATTCCACTCCATCCACCGTAACTAAATTGCCACGGAAATGGTACTATTGGCAGTACTGTACTTAATTTCAGCCAATAGTACTCTCTCACCCACCAAATTCTTAAATGTACCGAAAAAAAATAGTCATAGTAGTTGAAGAAACACAACAAAGGAAAGAGGGAGAGAAAGCGGAAGAAAAAAAAAAAAAGGTAACAATGAAGCAGCAACAGAACGGCACAAAACTAAGACAGTAGCAGCAACAAAAAAGAACCAAAAATAAAAAGAAAAAAAATCTAATCAAACTCCTTCTGGACTTTAATCCCCATGGAATTAGCAGTTCCGATGATAGACTTACAAATGGACTCCAGAGGCATATACTGACAATAGGGGTCCTGCTGCTTCACCTTGGCAATCTCGTACACGTGCTTCAAGGTCAAGGAGGAAGCCGTCACGTGACCGGGGCGCCCGCTCCCCTTCTCCAACCCTGCCGCCTTCTTTAGGTACCACGTAACCGAAGGCGACCTAACAGTGAACTCGAAGGTGTTGTCCTTGAAGGCAGTGATGACGACGGCCATGGGGGTGTCAGGCTTGTACTTTTGCGTCCTGGCATTGAAATCCTTGCAGAAGGCCATCAGATTGAGCCTGTATTGACCCAGCGCGGGCCCCACTGGAGGTGCCGGCCTAGCTCCCCCGGCTGGAACTGTTAAGCGGATCGTCGCTGCCACTGGCCGACGGGTCAGGATTTCCTTCAACGTTGACATTTTTTATAGGGAATTTCCAGATGCACCAGTACCAGTCTTTGAAAACAAGAATTTATAAAGTAAATTAGGTCCCTGGTTTCATAAAATACATACAGCTTTTCACATTCTACAAGATCAACATATAGCTATATTCCAAGAAGACATACTATCTGACAAGTTTGTCTATTTATCAACTATTCACATAAATATGGAAGTACAACTACTGTAATCCAAGACAACAAGAACAAAATCTAACTTGATTGATGAGTTATAGATTTCTTCCCATCCCAAGATACAAATGACTCCACAATGTTACGACACATCACACAAATAAGTTCCAATATGCCATATTGATAATAAAGTATAAAAGCGTATATGTCACACTTTAGCTCAAAACTGCAGCAAAGAAAAAATTTAATGTAACATTTGGAGATGAATAATCATGCACCATAAAGTCAGATTAGACCAAGCATTGAGGCTCTTCACAACCAGTTTATATGCAATTCAAAGAGACAGACAAGTTATATATGAAACATGCTAGGATGTAACCAGATAGAAAAGCCAAAAGAAAAATTGTAATATCCAGAATCTTGTGCAGCCCACTTTCTCCTTGCAGGTGATTCCGCCAATTTTCTCCCAAAATTCTAAAATGAAATTGAGTAATAAAAAAGGATAAAAAAAATAGGTCACTCACAAATTCTGCCAGCCAATGAATTCTTACAATTACTGCTTGAGACAATGGCAACACTATCAAAATTATAATACATCAGTACTTTGGCCCATACCAGGTGATGCAGAGGATAGGGAAGGTAGCCTACAGACTAAAATTGGCAGAAGGATCCAAGGTACACCCTGTGTTCCATGTATCCTTGCTGAAGAGGAAAGTAGGACAGCAGATAGTCCCAGTGCTGCAACTGCCAAACACAGATGAGAAAGGGCACTTCCGAGTAGAGCCAGTAGCTGTCTTAGATCAAAGGATTGTTAAGGAAAGAATGCTACAGCTGTTCAATGGCTCATTCAATGCTGCGGAACTTCTCCAGCTGAAGCTACATGGGAGGATGCAGAAGGAATTGAAAGGGAGTTTCCTGTTTTTCAATCTTGAGGACAGCATTGATTGAAGGGGGAGCAACTGTCATGGAGCAGGGACTTAAGCCGAAGAAATGAGCTGAAGGTGTGGTTTCCAATAAAGTAGTTGTGAAAGGAAAAGAAGAAGTCACGGTAGAAGGCGTGGGAGCAGGATCACGCCTTCTCTGGAAATCAGCACAACCAATGTGAAGAAGGAGGCTATTGTCGTTTTCCTAAGAGATGGCCATGTGTCTTCATGTCATTGCCTAGTGATTATATAGGAGATTTGCTTTGTGATAGGACAACAAAAGAATATTTTGTATCTGGAAGATTTGGGATCATTACTCCCAATTCTCTTTCCCCTTTCCCAAGTTTCTTTCCTTCTTTTTCACCTTCTTCCTATTTCCATCAACCTCTGTATCTCCATTATCACATATATCAATATAAACCTTATCGAGCTTGGTTCCTGATATCAAATTACCGTTCCATTCATTTTGCCATTTTAGTTTTAGGTTTAAGCTTCCTGTTCGCTTAGCTCAGCTTGATACCATCACAGTTCCACGTACAAACATGCCATACACACCCTAAACCCTCACAAAAATGCAGAAAATAGCAGAAATGAAAAAGAAAAAATCCAGAAAAAAAAATCGCTTAAGTTCAATTCCCTCGGTCCTCTTGGTTTTCTGGGGTCACTCACAGACTACGATTAGCGTTGGACTGATAGGAACTCCTTGCCATGTGCACAGATTCAGGAGATTCATGCCCTTAGTTTAAATTTTCATTTGGGCTTCATTTGAGCATTTTGTCAAATATGTGATAGATATGAGAAAAACCACAGATTTCATTATCCATCAGGATTATAGTTATCTAAATTTCTCAGAAACACAAGGGATTTCAGTCCAATTAACACACAAAACATGCATATTCACAAAACCGCGGATAATCAACAGAAAAATTGCAAAGGACAAATTCAAGAAAAATGTGTTTAAGAGCTTCAAGAATCTGAGCTTAAAGAAAAACTGAAATTAAAGGAAAATTTGAGCTTACAGTGCTCTCTCGGTGAAGATTTGCAGGTGGTGGTGGAAAGTTCCGGTGGCGGCGGCGGCGGCAACAGCAACATAAGCTTAGATACAACATATACTATCCATACAACAAGTATAGGTAGAAAATCATTCAAACCCTTAACTCATGTAACTCAAGAACATACACTATATCCATCTAAATCATTATAATAACTATCATCCACCACAAATTTAAGGTGCTATGCCAAGTTAAGCAAGATTAAGAGTAAGAAATGGTAAATCAGCATTATTACCTTACTAAAGTTACTTCCAAGAGCAGCCCTAATTTTTCCTTCCAAACTTTCACCAACACACCACTAGCTAAACACTCAAAAAAAGTTTTAATCGGATTAGTTTCTTGTTTCCTCACTTAAGTGACTCAAACTCAAGATGGATTGGTGTATCTCTCCCTTGGTTTTTCTCTCCTCTCTCTCGGCCAAAGCAAGCAGAAAATGATGAAGAAAGGAAGCTAAATGGTGATAAAAAGGCAAGATAATTTGGTCTTGGTCAAGGCCCTAAATGGCCAACAAGTGGCATCACCAATTTTCACTCATTTTTTTTTGCTTTTCCTTGCAAATTTGGTCAACATTTTCGGCCAAAGCTAGCTGAGAATGAGGGGATATTTTACACAAATATTAATGAGCTTATATGGTAAGAAAGTGGTTGTGGCGACCCCACTTCCCCCTAAGGCGAACCAAAGGGTTGGCGGGCCGTCTGCCCAGCTCTCGCCAGGACTCACGCAAGCATTCTAACTCAAAATCCTCCAGGGATTAACCTAAACTACTACAAAAATAATTCTTCCGAAATAAATCATTTTCTATCACCTCATTAGCTTCAAAGATAACGGCATATAACTTACAACGAGGTAAGATCAAGTTTGGCTAAAGAGGAAAAGGGATCTTGAGAGCCCTCCGTATCCTTTTAATCTTTATTGACATGTGGTGCTAGTTCGGCTCATTTGTTGAACGTATTTGGATTGAGTAACTTTGTACTTATGTGAACCTTGTTTACTTGCGTGGCGGTACCTCATTAGGCGAAAGCTCACTCCGTTGCCTTTGTTTTCCTTACAGGGATCCACTTTTTGGAACTGTGATTTTGAAGCACGAGTTGAGCTAGTTTAATACATTCTTTTGTAAAGCTCCTCGATGGTTGGAAAAACCTTAAATGTATCTTGATCCAACATTTCCCTTTTAGTTGTAAATTTGCAACCATGCGTATATAACGATGTTTAGAAATGTTTCAGTGTTATTTTGGTTTGGAAATGTTCTTTGCTAGGGTTATATAAAGTATATTGCACTTGTATGGGTTTCGAACAAGTTCGGATTTTGAACGACAAAAGAAAAAAATTGGCGGGAAATTTCTGCAGGAGAATCCGGCAGGCAATCCGGCCAGTTCTTGGCAGGATTGCCGGCCGGATTGACAGGGGAAATTTTGAATCCGTGAGGTTGGCCTCTACCTCCAATCCGGCAAAGAATCCGGCCGGATTATGACGTGGCCGGAACTATTCATGTGCGGTTCCATTTTTTTTTCATTTTCGTTTCGCGATTTGGAATCGATTAAGCGCGCTAATATCTTCTGGAACGTTTTAGATTGTGTATAATCGTCTTAGTAGTCCTGGCGAGAGTTGGGCAGGCAATTCGCTAACCCCTGTGGTACGCCTTAGGGGAAGGTGGGGCTGTCATAGTTGGTATCAGAGCCTAGATTAGAAATGACTTAGGCAAGTTTGAATTTTGTTCCTTAGGACCTATGAGGAATGTGTTAAGACGCTGTTAAGTGTGATTAAATTGTCTAAGACATGAACACTTTTGCTATTCTTGTAGGCTATGGCTGGAGCAAGTGGAGAGGGCGGGGGTGAGCCGCCTCAGAGACGCCCTCGTGTTATTGATTACTAGGAAAGGCCTGGAGGTCTGATCCGGCTGTGATATACCGCTAGTCGGGCCTGTCGTTGTAACCGTTGCCGGAACCACTCTTACGTCGACCATGTGGTCGTGGCGGTGCTAGGCGAACGAAGGAGGCTTAGACGTGCCGCCGCCAGGGATCACACGGAGCTGCTTAGGCTGAGAGGCATCATGAGGATGCAAGCGGACCGGATAGGGGAGCTCCGAGAGGACATAGCTATAGAGCAAGAGCGAACGAATGCTCTTAGAGAGCAATTGCAAGGGGTTAACAATCGTCTTACGAACGTGGTCAGGAAAGTTAGAGACCGTTCCGGCGGTATTATTAATGACTGTGAGGCGCTAATCCAAGAAGTGATTGGCGCCAACGCGCAAGCGGAGGCTTCTGAGGATGGAACTTCTGGCGAGGGGAGCACCCCTAGTTCTAGCCAAGGGGGAAAGTCTGTGGGCTCAGTAGGGAACTAGGCTAGAAATCTTTTGACCTAACTTTACTTTTGATTCCATGGGGGACGTAGATCAGGGAAAGAACCCTTAGCTAGCTGTTTTTGCATGTTTGGTCTAGCTTTGTAAATAGTACTTTTGATGACGACTCCGTTATCTCATGGAATTTCTTTGTGTGTATCCGACTGACTGTTAATGTGTGACTTGTTTGACACTGTTGTGTTATATGTATATATGTTTTGATTTGTGAATATCTTTTGGATTCCTTATCTATGTTTACCTTTAGCTTTAATGTTGGATTTATGCTTTACCCTAGATCGACTAGATTTCAATGGAGGGAACTCGTAGTGGACATGGTCGTGGTCGCGGAGTTAGGCAACCCACGACTGAAGGGGGTACTAGGGGAACCACGTCTGAATCAAACCCTGAACCTAGGGTCGATCCGAATGTGCAAGTGACCGCAGCCATCCAACGAATGACCGACTTGTTGGCTCATGTAGTAGAGCAACAGGGTCAAAACCCTAATCCCAACCCTGAAAACCCTGGTAATTATGTGGAAAGTGAGGATAGGACCCTCGAAAGGTTTTAGAATTTTTCCCCATCGAAGTTTATTGGAGGGCCAAATTCGGATGTGGTCGAGAGATGGCTAGAAAAGCTGATGGACATCTTTGTTGCCCTGCATTACACAGAGGAGAGGCAGGTGACTTTTGCTGTCTTCCAACTGGAAGGGTAGCCCGTTCCTGGTGGAACGTAATAAGACAAAAATGGGACCGAGAACAGACGCCCAGGACATAGATGAACTTCATGAGGGAGTTCAATGCTAAATTCTTTCCTCCTTTGATTCAAGAACGAAAGGAAGACGAGTTTATCCGGCTTCACCAAGGAACCCAGACTGTAGCCGAGTACCAGAGCCAATTCACTCGGCTGTCCAAATTTGCGCCCGAACTTATCATGACCGAACAACGAAGAATAAGGCGCTTTGTACAGGGTCTGAACGTGGAGATCCAGAAGGATCTAGCTGTAGCCCAGATTAACGCCTTCAGCAATGCAGTGGAGAAGGCTCAACGAGTGAAAAATACTAGGCTACAAGTGAGAAACTTTCAGGTAAAGAAGCGAGAATTTCCTGGAAGTAGTTCGGCACAGGGGGATAAGAGTACCCATCCCAAGTTTGGACGGAGAACTGGAGGAGGAAAGATGCCGGGAATGTTAAGAGGGGCCCCGTCAAGAGGTGGACAAGTTGGGAGAGGTCAAAGAGAAGGTTTCCAAGGAGGCTCGGCTTCTGCATCTCGCGGACCCTGTGGGTATTGTGGAAAGCTAAACCACACAGAGGACAATTGCTGGAAGAAAGAGAGGAAATGTTTGCGCTGTGGAAGTGCAGTCCACCAGCTTGCCAATTGTCTGGTTCTATCACGAGATAGAAGGGGAAGCCAGCAACCAACGAGGACCAATTCCAAACCGACTAAGGTGGAAGGGACTAAATCTAAGGTATCGGCTCAAGTATATTCACTGGAGCCATAACAGGTCCCCGATTCTTCTGAAGTTGTAGAAGGTACGATTCCTATATTCCACCGATTTGCGAAAGTTTTAGTAGATCCCGGTGCTATTCATTCATTTGTCAACCCCAATTTCATGTGCGGAATTGATATAAAGCCCACTAGTTTACCTTATAACCTGGAAGTTAGCACTCCTACGGGGAATCACTGTTTGATTACTAGTATGGTTTATAAGAATTGTGAAGTTTGGGTAGGAGAGAGAAAATTGTTAGGAGATTTGATAAGCCTGTCCATTAAGGGGTATGACGTAATTCTAGGTATGGATTGGTTAGCCCGGTATGATGCCCAACTTGATTGTAAGCGGAAAATAGTGGAGTTTCATATTCCTGGGGAGGCGACTTTGAGGTTAGATATAAGGAGTAGGTTGGCCTCATCTGTATTGATTTCGGGTATACGGGCTCAGAAATTACTAAGTAGAGAGGCGCAAGGATTCTTAGCTTTTCTTATTAACACCCCTTCTGACAAACTGAAGGTAGAAGATGTACCAATAGTAAGTGAATATCCGGACGTATTTCCTGATGAGTTAGTAACCCTGCCTCTGGAGAGAGAGATAGAATTCAAAATTGATCTGTTACCAGGGACGTCACCCATCTCTAAAATCCCATATCGGATGGCACCTACTGAACTTAAGGAGTTAAAATTGCAGTTATAAGATCTTTTGGAGCGAGGGTTTATTCGAGAGAGTAGATTTCCTTGGGGAGCCCCTGTGTTATTTGTGAAGAAAAAGGATGGGAGTTTGATAATGTGTATAGATTACCGGGGGCTGAATAATGTGACGGTTAAGAATAAGTACCCGTTGCCTCATATTGATGAGTTGTTCGACCAGTTGCAAGGAGCGGTGGTCTTTTCGAAATTAGATCTTCGACAGGGGTATTATCAATTGTTAATTAAGAAGGAGGATATACCAAAAACTGCTTTCAATTCTAGATACGTGCATTTTGAGTTTGCAGTCATGCCCTTTGGACTGACCAATGCCCCTGGTGCCTTCATGGATTTGATGCATAGGGTTTTTAAGCCCTATTTGGATCGATTTGTAGTTGTATTTATTGATGACATCCTGGTTTACTCAAAGACTCGTGAGGAGCATGAGCAGCACTTAAGAATCGTCTTGCAAACCCTAAGAGAGCATCAGTTGTACGCCAAGTTTAGTAAGTGTGAGTTTTGGCTGGAGAAAATTCCTTTCTTAGGGCATGTAATTTCCCAAGAGGGCATCTCTGTTGACCCGGCGAAAGTAGAGGCCGTGACTGATTTGAAGAGGCTAGAAAACCCTACAGAGATTCGTAGTTTTCTAGGGTTGGTTGGGTACTATAGGCATTTTATTAAGGACTTTTCCAAACTTGCCGGTCCCTTAACCGACCTGACGAAGAAAAATGGTCATTTTTTGCGGGATACTAGATGTGAAGCTAGTTTTCGAGAGCTGAAGAAAAGATTAACCATGGCACCGATTCTAGCTTTGCCTAACGGGATAGATAGTTTTACCGTTTATACTGACGTCTCGCGGGAAGGTCTGGGGTGTGTGTTGATGCAAAACAAGAATGTGATATCTTTTGCTTCTAGGAAATTGAAACCTCACGAGCAGAACTACCCAACCCACGACCTGGAGTTAGCCGCAGTTCTTTTCGCTCTAAAAAAGTGGAGACACTATCTATACGGGGTAACTTTTGAGGTGTACTCTAATCATAAGAGCCTTAGATACCTCTTCTCGCAAAAGGAATTGAACATGAGGCAGCGGCGATGGATGGAATTTCTGGAGGACTACGACTGCACCATTAACTACTATCTGGGAAAAGCTAACGTGGTGACTAATGCCTTAAGTCGAAAGGCTCAAGTAGCGGGGTTAGTGATTAAGGAGTGTGATATGTTGGAATCGATTTGTGAGTGAAAATCCTATCTTGGAAGTCATAAGGTGATTTTTGGTAATGTTACAGTAACATCCACTCTACTGGAACATATTAAAGAGGCCCAGAAGGAAGATTCTATGGTACGGAAATGGGGAGAGAAAGCGGAAAAAGGAGAATTGTTAGATTTCAATCTAAGTCCCGAGGGAATTTTGAAATACCGAAACTGAGTGGTGGTGCCCAAAGATGAAATGTTAAAGAATGAGATCTTAGAGGAAGCTCATCGGTCCAAGTACATGATCCATCCGGGTAGTAGCAAGATGTATCAGGACCTAAAAGGAGCCTATTGGTGGGACAACATGAAGAAGGAAATTGCTCAATACGTGCAAACCTGTCTCATCTGTCAACAAGTTAAGGTGAAACATCAAAAACCATCTGGATTGTTACAACCCCTGGAGATACCCGAATGGAAATGGGAAAACATTACAATGGACTTCGTTTCCGGTTTGCCGCGAACACAACGATGCCGTTTGGGTGATCGTCGATCGGTTAACCAAATCGGTCCATTTCTTGCCGGTAAACATGAAGTATTCCATGGATAAATTAACTCAGGTGTATATGGATGAGATAGTAAGACTACATGGAGTTCCTGTGAGCATTGTTTCGGATAGAGATCCTCGTTTTGTATCTAGGTTTTGGCAGACATTTCAAGAGACCTTGGGGACTAAACTCAATCTTAGTACCACTTATCATCCCCAGACAGATGGACAGTCGGAGCGAATAATTCAAACTCTCGAGGATATGCTAAGGACTTGTATTTTGGATTTTGGAGGTAATTGGGGCCAACACATGACCTTAGTGGAGTTTGCCTATAATAATAGTTACCATTTGTCAATTCAAATGGCACCATACGAAGCGCTTTATGGAAGAAAGTGCCGATCACCGATCTATTGGGATGAAGTCGGCGAAAGAAAGGTTCTAGATCTAACGACTATTCCATGATGGAGAATGCACGAGAAAAAGTTAAGTTGGAACGACAAAGACTCCAAACAGCCTAAAGCCGACAAAAGAGCAACGCAGACAATCGAAGAAAAGATTTGGAATTCGAAGTTGGGGACCGCATTTTTCTTAAGGTCACACCGTTACGGAGCGCCACGACGGGTAAAGGAAGAAAACTTCAACCGAGGTTCATTGGACCTTTCAAAATTCTCCAAAGAATTGGAAAAGTAGTGTATCGACTTGAACTACCATCAAGTTTGTCCAGGATTCACGATGTCTTCCACGTCTCGATGCTTAAAAAGTAATATCTTGACCTGACCCACATTTTACAACTGGAGGAAATTGAGATAGATGAGTCACTCACCTATGAAGAGAAACCTTTATGGTTGCTTGACCAAAAGGTTAAGGAGCTGAGAAACAAACAAATTCCATTGGTGAAGATCTTGCGAAAAAATCATGGGATAGAAGAGGCTACCTGGGAGGTGGAAGAGGAAATGCAGAAGAAATACCCTGAACTGTTTGTGAATCAAGGTGAGAAATTTCGAGGACGAAATTCTTTTAAGGAGGAGAGAGTGTGAGAACCCGAAAATTTTCTTATTTTCTAGGCTTTATTTTATTTATTTGCACGCCGATCCTCTAATTTCTTTATTAGGAAAATTTTCTAGATAATTTTTATGAGTAAATATAGATTTTAAATCATTTTTCTAAAATAATTTAGTTCATGAGAAATTAGGAGTGTATACCGGGCGTGGGACCCGCTAGTGTGATATGTGTGATAAATTCGGCCAATTAGGTTAAATTTTGTGATGCGGTTGAGCACGAGGCCCAAAGTGTACAAGTAGACCCTGTGAAGGTGCCCCAAGACCCAGTGACACGAGCACGAGCTAAGAGATTCAAGGAGTCCCTCCAAGCCTTGGTACGTGCCATCCAATGGTACGTGCCATCCAAACCCAAGAGAAACCGGGCATTGAAGGAATTGAGTTGGAATATCCTTGCACGACTACTAAAATGCTGCTTACAATTGAAGATGCAAGTGTTCAAGCTCCAAACGGCGGGCTGAGCCGCAGTTAAGTACCCTCGCTGAGCCGTACGGGGTTGGGCTAGCTTTCGGTCAAGTGAAAGCCCAAGGGGCTGGCCGAACTTTCCTTGTTATTTTTTCAGTTTATTAGGTCTTAGTCACGGCTATAAATAGCCTGAAGTCGTATGTTACATTCAGTTTTTGAGAGTATTGAATAAAATTTCCAGAATTTCGTCCATTCCTTGTGGCAAATTCCCTTGGCTTGTGAAAGCTAAGTTGAACATCCTAGAGTTGATCCTAGGCTGTTCTTGACTTATCAATCAAACATACACACTTGATTGTGGCGTCCTCTACCGTTAAATCTGTTCTTGAGTGGTCCAAGTTCGGGTTCAACTCCATCAAATCTTCATCGTGTTCCTCTAGATCCGAAGTAGCTTCCGTCTCTCGCATCAGCTGGCATCAGAGCTGGTTAGAGGTATCACAAATATCCCTTTTTATTGTTTTTAGATCTATTTTAGTCTTCTAAATTCGTAGCTCAAGTGCTCGGGTTTGTCAAGTCCGAAATCTGTCTTGGTTGTTTCCTTGTCAGAAATCTGTCTTTGTTGTTTAGTTGTTGTCCGAAATTTTCTGTCCAGTTTTGTCTTGTGTTTATGTTCTGTTTAAATCCAAACAAAATCTATTGTGATGCATACCTTATTGTCATTCCCTTGAGTCGTTGCTGGAATTAATTTGCTGGGATGTCGAATCTGTTTGCACTTGTTTCTTGAACCTTTGTGTTGTTGCTTTGCAAAACTCGAACATCAAAACCTTATTGGGGAAGTCTTGAGCTTCTTGGATCAAAGAGGTTAATCTTCGCAGTCTTGAAACCTGAAATAAACCTTCAACCGTGTTCTTGTTTTCATGGAACTTTGATCTTGAAACCAAATCTGTCCAAGTTATTTACGTTAATTGCTGTGAAATTGTGGTCTAAACTAGCTGGCTATTGTGTGAAAACACCCCAAAAGAAGTCAAAAAAAAAATTCAAGAAAGACGGCTCTAGTTTCCAATTCTTGACCAGCCTTCAAGTTTTACCAAATCTGATTCAAACTTGGACTTCCAAATCTGAACAGCCCTAGTCTTGGTCAGCCTTCAAGCCACCAAATTTGATTCAAACTTGGACTTCCAAATCTGAACAACCTCCAATTCTTGACAGCCTACAAGTTTACCAAATTTGGTGCAAAATCTGACTTCCAAATCTGACCAGCCCCAAAATTTCGAATTTGAACCACTTGGGACTCCCAAATCTGACCAAACTCCAAGGTTTCCAATCCTTGGCAACCCCAAGTGTCCAAATCAGATCAAACTTTCCAATTTCCGAATCTTGAATTCTTGAATTTTCCTAAAACCGTTGGAGCAATTGTGCCACCCTATTGGGCTGAGTTTTAGGTAGTAGATTGCCCATTATTTGAGCAGCCTAAGGCCACCCAAAATACTCCAAAACCCTTACCAAAAAGACCACGGACCAGCAGCTCAACAAATTCCAGAAAATTGGGTTTCGGGTAGAGTTTTCTAGGATTTTCAAAATTTCAGCATTCAAGTTAATTGTCTTACTTTCTTTTGAGTCGTTAGTTATTGTCCAGCTACATTCTGAGTCTTGAGTCGTGTCTAGGTCTTCAGTCATACACCTCCATTTATAGCTACTAGCTTGTGTGTCACTTGTTGACTAGTCAAGAACGTATACTGCAGTGACGCCTAGTTTGTTCAACCCGAGCAACTAGCAAGCCAAGGAATTGCTTGGTAAGATTATTAGAGAGTTATACACTTGAGTGAAACACGAGTGTGAGTGACCTATACATCGTATTAAAAAAAAAAAGAGAGAGAGAGAGGAACTCGTTTTTGTTTATTTATTTTGCAGGTGGACTAAATATGTCTAGTGAAGTTGGTGAACAAACCATGGACATCAAACTACAGTTGGAAGCCATGATGAGGGAGTTCAAACGATTGCTTAAGAATGAAATTGAACCATTGCATGATCGAATTGATCAGTTGGAGAACTCGAGACCTCCACCTACCCCGAGTAAGGGCAAAGAATCGGCATACTCAAACGATGAAGAGGAAGCATTTGAGGGAAGGTACCAAAATGATCAAAGGTTCCAACGTCGAGGAGATGACACCATTAAAGGTGTCAAACTCAAGATTCCCTCATTCCAAGGCAAGTCGAACCCCGAGGCGTACTTGGAGTGGGAACGAAAAATTGAGTTAGTCTATGAATGCCACACCTATACGGAGGAGCAAAAGGTGAAACTAGCAGCCGTAGAATTCATTGACTACGCCTCCATTTGGTGGGACCAACTTTGACTGAGCCGAAGGAGAAATCGTGCGAGACCTGTGGAAACTTGGGAGGAAATGAGGAGTCTGATGAGAAAAAGGTTTGTTCCGAGCTACTATAGTCGAGATCTACACCGTCGGCTACAAGCTCTCAACCAAGGGTCCATGTCAGTTGAGGATTATTACAAGGAGATGGAAATGGCCATCATGAAGGCGGATTTGCGTGAAGATGGAGAGGCCACTATGGCTCGTTTTCTACATGGATTGAGGCCCGAGATTGCCGAAGTAGTGGAACTCCAACACTACCTCGACATGAATGAAATGCTCGAGAAGGCGGTTACAATTGAACGGCGCCTCAAGAGGAGGGGTACTGCGCTACAAAGCACTACTTATCAAGCTGGAAATTGGCGCACTTCTCAACCAAACAGGGAGGAGAAAGCCGCAGCTCCTTCTTACCCTCCAAGGCCGAATGGCCTCCCTTCCAAGGCAACGCCCAAGCCTGACTTTAAGGCTAATAATGCAGCTTCCAAACCGTGTGGTCGAGACACCAAGTGCTTTAAGTGTCAAGGATTTGGCCATATCGCTTCTCAATGCCCCAGCCAAAGGACCATGCTGATGTTGCCAAATGGGGAAATTGTATCAGATGAGGAAGAGGAGTACGAGGGGATACCGCCTCTAGAAGAGGAAGAGAATGAATCGAGTGAGGAGATACCTACGCATGAGGAGATTGGATGCCTAGTGGTTCGAAAGGTCCTCACTACCCGCGCCGAAGAGGAGGAAATGGAGGTACAACGGGACAACCTTTTCTACACACGGTGTCATATCAAGGATAAGGTGTGTAGTGTTGTTATTGATAGTGGGAGTTGTGCCAATGTCGCTAGTCTACTCATGGTAGAAATGCTAGGGCTCCAAGTTATCAAACATCCAAGACCTTATCGCCTTCAATGGTTGAACAATGAAGGGGAAGTCCGTGTGTTTAAACAAGTAAAAGTGCCATTCCGAATTGGCAAGTATGAAGACGAGGTTACTTGTGATGTCGTGCCGATGCAAGCAAGTCACCTCATTCTTGGACGGCCTTGGCAATATGATCGCGATGTCGAATTCAAGGGAAGAGCTAATAAATATGTCTTTACTCATTGCAATAGAAAGGTGACACTTGTACCTCTCACCCCAAAACAAGTGTATGAAGATCAAATGAGGCTCCAAAAGGAGTATGAGCTAGAACTTGAGAGGAAAAAGCGAGAGAAAAGTGAGGAAGAAAAAGGAGAGAGTAGGGCCAAAACCCTAGGGAAGAAAAAGGCAACAAGTGGGTCGGCTATAAGAGAAGAAAATAAGGGGAAGCTAAGCTTGCTAGCAAAAGCCAAAGATGTAAGGCGAGCTTTGTCTTCCAACCAACTCTTACTTATGCTTGTGTACAAAGAAGAGTTGGTCAATTCATCCATACCTACTGACTCCTTGCCTTCTACTATGTTACCTCTCTTGCAGGAATTTGGGGACATATTTCCTGAGGATGTACCTGATGGACTACCACCGCTAAGGGGAATCGAGCACCAAATCGATCTCATTCCTGGAGCACCATTGCCTAACAAACCAGCCTATAGAATGGGTCCTGAGGAAACAAAGGAATTGCAAATGCAAGTGGAGGAATTGCTAAGGAAAGGTTGGGCTAGAGAAAGTCTAAGTCCATGCGCTGTACCAGTGATTCTCGTGCCAAAGAAAGATGGAGCGTGGAGAATGTGCACCGACTGTCGAGCAGTCAATGCACTCACGGTAAAATATCGTCACCCTATCCCTAGGTTAGATGATATGTTAGATGAATTGCATGGTGCCATTATATTCACTAAAATTGATTTGAAAAGTGGTTACCACCAAATAAGAATGAAAGAGGGAGATGAGTGGAAAACCGCTTTCAAAACTAAACATGGTCTATACGAGTGGTTAGTAATGCCATTTGGCTTAACTAATGCACCTAGTACCTTCATGCGTTTGATGAACCATGTTTTGAGACCTTTTCTTGGGAAATTTGTAGTGGTTTACTTTGATGATATTTTGATTTATAGTAGAAGCTTAGAGGAACACCTTGAGCACCTCAAAGCCATCTTTGCAGTACTTCAAAGGGAAAGGCTATATGCCAACCTTAAGAAGTGCACATTTTGCACTGATCGTGTTGTGTTTCTAGGATATGTTGTAAGTGCGCAGGGCATTCATGTAGATGAAGAGAAGATTAAGTCCATCCAAGAGTGGCCAACACCTACCTCTGTAAGTGATGTGCGCAGCTTTCATGGATTAGCAAGCTTCTACCGTCGCTTTGTGAAGGATTTTAGCACCATTGCTGCACCTCTTACCGCGGTCATAAAGAAGAACGAGAAGTTCTTTTGGGGGGAAGCCCAAGATAAGGCTTTCCAATTGCTGAAACACAAACTCACACATGCACCACTCCTTGCAATACCTAACTTTGATCTCACTTTTGAAGTGGAATGTGATGAATCAGGTGTAGGAGTAGGAGCCGTACTCATGCAAGGAGGGAGACCGATTGCCTACTTTAGTGAGAAATTAAATGGCGCGGTCCTCAACTATTCAACTTATGACAAGGAGGTGTTTGCCCTCGTACGTGCTTTGGAGACATGGCAACACTACCTACGTGCCCGGGAATTCGTCATCAAAACTGACCATGAGTCTCTCAAGCACCTAAAAGGACAACAAAAGCTGAGCAAACGGCATGCCCGATGGGTAGCCTTCATCGAGTCTTTTCCATACGTCATCAAATACAAAACAGGTAAGTCTAATGTAGTAGCTGACACTTTATCTCGGAGACACATTTTGCTCACTGCCTTAGATGCTAAACTCCTAGGCTTTGAGCTCATGAAGGAGTTGTAGAAGGATGACTTGGATTTTGCCAACGCTTATGCGAATTGGGGAAAATCTGACTTTGAAAAGTTCTTTGTACATGATGGGTTCTTATTTTATCTTACCAAGCTGTGCATTCCTCGAGGGTCCATACGTGACTTACTTATTCAGGAGTCACATAGTGGTGGACTAATGGGACACTTTGGTGTCACCAAGACATTAGCTGTATTGCAGGCACACTTCCATTGGCCTCGCATGCGCAAGGACGTGGAGAGGATTGTTGAAAGATGTGGTGTGTGCCACAAAGCTAAGTCTCGGGTCAACCCAAACGGTTTGTACACTCCTTTACCCATACCTCACCAACCTTGGGTTGACATCTCCATGGATTTCGTGCTTGGTTTACCTCGTTCAAAGCGTGGCCATGACTCTATATTTGTTGTGGTAGATAGGTGATACGAACGTCGCCAACCTTGTGACGAAACCCGTAAAAGATTAGATTCAGGATCGACAAGAGGACACCAAGTTTGGAGCGGATGACCTCAACCCGTTAATCACGTGGTTAACGAACCTTGGTATAATGGTAGAAGACGCCACAACCTAGTGCGATTCTAGATTGATAAGTCACGAACACCTAGAGAAATTCTAAGGTATTCAAGAAGCCTTGGAGAAACCAAGAAAACTCTCAAAATCTGATTTATTCGTTGAATACCTAAAACCATTGGAAGTGTGGGCTATTTATAGCCTTACATAGAGATGAACAACTAAATGTGGAACTAGTCTAGAGTTGTGGTCTTGACTAAGACTAACAATTGTAGGCTTGACTATTTCCATAAGACTAAGAATTGTGGGCTTGACCACACCTTATGAGGTCATCCCTTAGGTAAACAACCTTATGAGGTCATCGCTTTGGTAAATAACCTTATGAGGTCATCGCTTAGGTAATTAAAGCAAGACTATGGATCATTAAGCCCTTATTACAATGACTTAACTAAAACAGCAAATGTGACTAGAGAAGGGTCACACATGGTTCTCTTTGACGTGCACTACATGGATGACTTTCATTCCTTCATGCTCAAGACTCTCAATGACCTTGGGGACAATTTCTTGGCCTTGTATCTCATGAACAAGTCCTTGGAGTTCCTCCCTCATCTTGTTAGCTCGTGCTCGAGTTACCAGTCCTAGTGGGACTTGAACCTTATCCGATGGCATAGCTTGACTCGTATCATTCCCCTTCTCTTGAAAGCAATTTGCCCACAAATTGAAGCATGAATGATGATAAGAAGAGTTACATGCCGTCGAGTCAATTTTGTTATGATTACCACAATTTTCATCCAATGCATAAACCACTTGCTAAGCTGGAAAGTAAACATTGTTGAACCTTGAATCTCACGAACCAGTTTCAATGTATGCCCAACTTGATCGCTTGTGATCATGAGGTAAGGATCCTCAACGTGATGCGATGTAGATCCTATGAAATCATACTCCTCAAACTTGAATAAGCTTGCAAAGTATGGAAGCTGACTTGGTGAAGTTGGAGCTTCAAGTGGACTAGGTGCAAGATGAGCATAGGTATTGTAGTGACCATTGAAGACCTCGCTCCTTGTGTAAACTCGTGGAACATGGTCGGTTCTAAGGTCTTGAGGGTACACATAGTTTGATCCTCCAAAGACGTGAACAGCATTGAAATTATCTGATTCCATGAATGGGAACCAAATTGATCTAACTCCTAGAAGACAAACTCCATGGAAACTCGCAAATTGCACAAGCGTCTTTGGGATGGAACATTGTAAGATCAAAACGATTGCACTTTGCTTAACCTGCACAAAACAAGGAACACTAGACAGAGCAATGTTAAGGTTGTTAGAATGGCAATAAGTCCCCTCACTCTCATTTTTGTTGAAACTTAAAATCAGTGCATTATCCCTTCTTTCTTTCGCTTCCTCAGTCAACACTTTGGATTTTTCAATCTCTTTCTCATGCTCAATAGCTGTCTTTTTCCTCTCATTATTCTCAGCCTCTTTCTCCTTTTCAACTCCCTCAGATTTTACCTCATCAGTCACAATTCCCTCATCTAGCTCTTTCTTCATACTATAACGCTCATGTTCACTTCTCATGTATGCTAGATCAATACAAAGTTGGTCATAAATAAGTGGTACAAGTGTAGAACGACGACCATTAAATAAGAAGGAATACTTATTAGTATGTCTATCATATTTAACTTCTCGCCTCAACATCCACGCTTTACCTAGCAACACATGTGTCACTTGAATTGGGACTACATCACACAACACCTCATCCACATATTTGCCAATTTGAATAGGTACAAGTGTGTGTTTAGTAACCCAAACATCACCATGAGCACTCGACAACTTATACGGTTGAAGATGATCAATGGTTGGAAGATTTAATTTGTGAACCATGATAGCGCTTGCAAGATTGACTTCACAACTCCTATCAATGGCCAAGCTGCATGTTTTATCTTTGACACCACAACGAGTATAAAACCAACAATGCAACTGAGATTTGACGATGTCCAACTGCTCATTTACACCACGTAATGCCACTTCTTCGACTCCCTTAGGATCAGGAAGAAGATGTTGTAAGCTAGCTTTTAAATGCCTCGTATTCGCCATGATGTATGAGGAAACCTGCAAAAATTTAGTGAAACAAAAGATATTTTTCCTTACCACACAAGCTCACATGTTTACACTCGTCACTCGTGTATCACTCAAGTGTTTAAAACACTCTAATGTTCTCAAGGTTCTGCTTGCTTCCCTTGAAGAAAGTAGAAAATTTCCCTGAAAAGTTCAACTAGCTTCGCACAAGAATCTACTCAAATGTGGCTCGTTATAAGCTGGAAATTTGAGGAGGTATAAGACAAAAATGACTCAAAAGAACTGGAAAAAAAAATAATCTGCTGGAATTTGTTGGAAAAAAATGCGTAGATGCACGACAAAAGGACTACTAGTTATGCAACACAAAAACTAGCTATACAAGAGCTGGAAATTTGGACACTACTCTGGCTGGAAATTACTGGAAAAAATAATCAGAACAACTGATTCAAGAAAGCTATAAAGATTTGACTCAATAACAACTGCCTAAAGAGTGCACCAACACTTGCTCTTGTTGCAGCAATTTAGGAAATAATGGATAGTGGAAATTTTTGGATTATTCCGGAACTAATCCCTTTTTCCTATCCCAAAAAGGATTTAACAGGCTGTAAAAACGAAATTGAAGTAAATCTGGACAGCCTTATTCAAGTTGGACTAAACTAATCAAATCCAACTTGGAATTGGAGTAGGGTTGCTGGTTGTTTTGGTGCTCTTCTTTTTTTTTTTTGATGGTCAGCTTTTAGGAAGGCATTTATCACAATCAATGGTCAATTTTGAAAGCTTTCAAGAGTCAAATTTCGTGGCTTAGGGAGGCTGGCTTTCAAGAGTCAAATTTCATGGCTGAACATTCTTCTTCTTATCAATGGTCAATTCTGGAGGCTTTCAAGAGTCAAATTTTGTGGCTTAAATGTTCTTGATCAAGAAAGAAGATTGTTGTGGTGATCAATAAAGAAGATTAATCAAGAAAGAAAGAACGACAAGGATTTTGGCAGCTGGAATTTTGCAGCCTTGTTGTTTACCAAGATTTGGTTCCCAAAACCCAGAAACTTCAAGATTCTTTCAAGAATTCAAGATGTTAATTTCCAGAATTCAAGAAACACAAAATTGAAGATGATTTCCTCCCAAAACAATCCAAGATTTCTCGATTTGATCAAGACAGATTTTGGTTGGCTTCAAGAATCCCAACTAAAGTTCCAAGAACTTCAAGATTGTGGTTTTAAACAATCAAGAACTTCAAGAAACCCAAGTTTTGATCAAGACAGATTTTCAAGAATTTTGTAAGGTCAGCCAGCTATATTTTTTTTTCCGGATGAACAGTAACCTCGGATGATCAAATAGAACAAAAGACTGGAATTAAATGGATATAACAGGATAGAAACAAGACACAAACACAAACAAAGAATCAAGAATAAGACACAAAAAAAAAAGGCTGGACCAAACAAGGCTAACCACAGCAATTAACAACAACTAGACGCAAGTTTACGATGCAACAAATCTGGAAAAATAACGCAAGAACACGATGCAACAAATCTGGAAATTGCGAACAGCAAACTTAGAACACGAAAACAGAATTTTGGACAACTTGACTCGAAAGGAAATAAATAAAGGGATATAACGTGATACCTCTTAACTAGCTCTGATTACCAACTGATACGAACGTCGCCAACCTTGTGACGAAACCCGTAAAAGATTAGCTTCAGGATCGACAAGAGGACACCAAGTTTGGAGCGGATGACCTCAACCCGTTAATCACGTGGTTAACGAACCTTGGTATAATGGTAGAAGACGCCACAACCTAGTGCGATTCTAGATTGATAAGTCACGAACACCTAGAGAAATTCTAAGGTATTCAAGAAGCCTTGGAGAAACCAAGAAAACTCTCAAAATCTGATTTATTCATTGAATGCCTAAAACCATTGGAAGTGTGGGCTATTTATAGCCTTACATAGAGATGAACAACTAAATGTGGAACTAGTCTAGAGTTGTGGTCTTGACTAAGACTAACAATTGTAGGCTTGACTATTTCCATAAGACTAAGAATTGTGGGCTTGACCACACCTTATGAGGTCATCCCTTAGGTAAACAACCTTATGAGGTCATCGCTTAGGTAAATAACCTTATGAGGTCATCGCTAAGGTAATTAAAGCAAGACTATGGACCATTAAGCCCTTATTACAATGACTTAACTAAAACAGCAAATGTGACTAGAGAAGGGTCACACATGGTTCTCTTTGACGTGCACTACATGGATGACTTTCATTCCTTCATGCTCAAGACTCTCAATGACCTTGGGGACAATTTCTTGGCCTTGTATCTCATGAACAAGTCCTTGGAGTTCCTCCCTCATCTTGTTAGCTCGTGCTCGAGTTACCAGTCCTAGTGGGACTTGAACCTTATCCGATGGCATAGCTTGACTTGTATCAATAGGTTCTCCAAAATGGCTCACTTTATTGCATGTCATAAGACGGATGATGCTTTACACATTGCTAATTTATTCTTTAAAGAGGTTGTTCGTTTGCATGGCATACCTAGGACAATAGTATCCGATAGAGATGTCAAGTTTTTGAGCTATTTCTGGAAATCTTTATGAGGTCGGTTGGGAACCAAACTGTTGTTTTCTACCTCTAGTCATCCTCAAACGGACGGACAAACTGAGGCAGTCAATAGGACTTTATCCACACTCCTACGTGCAATCATAAAGAAAAATATCAAGTCATGGGAGGAGTGTCTACCTCATGTTGAGTTTGCATACAATAGGGCTGTGCATAGTGCTACACAATTCTCACCTTTTGAAGTTGTGTATGGTTTGAACCCCTTAACTCCCTTAGATTTGTTGCCATT